TCCCCCCCCCCCCCTGCCCCCCTGCCACTGCCACGTCCCCTCGCCTCCTGCCTGCTGCTGGGACATGGCTCTGCCATCTGGCCTCATTTCCTTGGCCAGTGATGGGCCTTTGGCCCATGGGCCCTTCCCCAAAATTATTGCCATGCCTGCAGCTCTCCAGGAACTAGTGCTGCTGGTGCTCAGTGCTGGGGGACAGGGCGAGGGGGGTGAAGCTGGCCCAGAAATTTTGGTGCGCAGGAGCCCTGCTGAAAGGGGACAGCCCCACATTGCCCTGGTCCCCACAGTGTGCAGGGGCCTCTGTGGGTGCTTGGAAGGGGACAGAAATGTGCAGAGGGAGCAGCTTGTCCACTGTCTCCTCTGGGCTGGCCCCCCTCCCCCATTGTACCCTACATCTGCCCAGGTCATGGGGGATGCTCAGGGACCCCTGGGAAGGCGGACCCTTGGGTCATGTCCTGTCCCCATGTACCCCATCTCTGCCCAATGGCTTTATACTGCTCCACTGCCACTGTTTCCCCCCCAGAGGCTTGTTCCACCCTAACAGGGACCCTCCTGCCCCATCCTGGCCATCCCCCTTGTCCTGTCCCTCAGGGATAGAGGTCCCCCCGATCCATCAGGCGGGGACCTCTGCACAGGTCCCAGGATGGAATGAGCCCACGTGCTGAGGATGCAGGCAGGGCTGCCCACACTGCTGGGTGCGGCTGCCAAATGTTTTTAACTTTGTTCCTCTTTTCACAAACACCAACGTGCAAGCTCAGCAATACTATCTCTGCTGTAGGCACACCAGCCCCAGACTCCTCCCGGCCCAGCTGGGTGACCGAAATGTGCAGAGTGCGCCAAGGATCTGCTGGCCACCGGGTCCCTGCTGCGTCCCACCACGCAGGGTATGGCCAGGTCCCGGCCGTAGTGTGCACCACGCAAACAAGCTGGAGAGCCGTGCAACGCTCGGGCATGGTTGCACGTGCTGGCCTGGGAGGAGAGCTTCTGAGGGGGATCTGGATAAGGGGGAGCCACTCTGGGCAGGAAGATATCCTCTATTGCAGGCTTAGCCCTTGGGTCTTGAGAGACAGTGTGCTGTGCTCATGTTTCCTGCAACCACAAGGACACATTTCCCCTGGGAACAGGCTCCTACAGACCATATCACACAGTACAGACCCCGCTGTCACTTCACATCAGCAGCTAAAGGTCCTGATCTCATTCCTGGGCCTCCATCATAGCCAGGCTCCTGAATCAGCAGGTTTCTCTAGCCTGCGTCAGCCCAGGTGCATCCCCACGGTGGGTCGGGACGACACGAGTAGATGCTAGCGTAACGATTTTCATCACCTAGCTCTGGCAAGGTTATTTTAGAGAAATACTCCAGTTCAGACGGATGCAGAGCAACGTGAAGTTACGGCCCGTGGACCGCAGCTCACACCCCGGGCAGTGCTGCGCTGGACTGATTCACCAGCCCAGATAACACGTGAGCCTGAAGATACCCACGCAGTGACTCTGCTGGGCTGGAAGTGCGCAGCCTGCATAGGAAGAGCCCAGCAAAACTCTGGGGGTTCCCTGCCCCTCCGGCACCAAGGAAGCCCGGGATAGAGCAATCCCAGCACACTAACTCCCGCCCTCCAGGGCCTCCTGGAGGCACAGGGGCTCAGCCCATGGCTACCCATGTCTTTACTGGGCACCAGCGCCCATCTCCACTGCGGTGGGGACTCGTCAGCTGCACACTGTGCAAAGAGAGATGGCTGCTGCCCCTGCTGCTCCCAGGGACACTGCCCACCCTCTGGAGGAACAATACAGCCCCAGCACACTGAGGTTTGCTGCCCTCCATCCCCAAACAGAGCTTCACCCCACCACAGCCCAAATGATGCCCGAGTATCTTGATCCCTGGCGTGGACATCAGCTCCCATTGCCTCTGATACAGCTACTGCATCCCACACGCAATAAAGACACATGGCAAGCTTGCAGCAGGAGCGCAGCAAAACCTTCTCTTGCGGGTGGAGGAGCAAGCACTTCTTACCCATTTCTTGGGATTCTCCGTAGATGTTGCGGTCTGGTTCTCCCAGCTCCTGTGCTGCCAGCAGAGGAGTGAGGAGCAGGAGGGATGCCCATCGCAGGGCCATGCTTGCTTATGCTCCCAGGGCAGGCCTGAGGTCTTGGCCCCGCCGGCTGCCTCACAGCACACCCGTCTGACTGCAAGAGGTGCAAACACAGAAAGGAAGCAGCCCCACAGAAATCACATATGGTGCAAGAGGCTTCCTCATTGGAGAGGGAACATCTGCGCCGCTTTCGTTCTTCTCTTCTGTGCACTGGGACAGCTTCACGCCCCTTTTGCAATCTTGCTGCTCTCCGATCATTTTACCAAGAATCACAGTTTCCAGGCTTTCTGGCGGGGACGGCTACTAGCCACAACAGTTGTGTTGCCTGCTCGTCCGGCACAGATCTCAGCAGGACTTGTGAGCTGTGCTGGTTCATGCCTGCGGTTTTGGCAGGAAGATACAGCTTCCATATTCACACAGTAAAGTCAAGCAGAGGCCACATCGGGACGGCCCTTATCTTGTTACTGCCTGATAAGGACTGTGATAAAAAGGATTTCCAAGGTGCACCAATGTGCACTAATAACCTAAATTATTTGAAGTCCACCAACTACCTGTCAGTGCATGCCACGGGCAGGAAAGTCAAGGTTTTGGCAGAAGCGGCTGGGTGCTGAAGGCTGGGCTGAGAGCAGATGCTGGGGAACAAGCTGATGACAGCCCTGGGGACCTGGAGCCCAAGTGTGGTGGCCGGTTGTGTTGCCAACACATGCTGGGAGCGGGAATGACCACAAAGGGGTGAGAAGGCGGCACAGGCACAGCAGTGGGCAGGGAAGGGGCTGCCAGAGAGTCTGTCTGTGCAGATGGAGGCTGGTGGCAGTGGCCACGGCAGCAGACCTGACCATCAGAGGTGGCCTAGGCAGGAAGAATTTGTTCTCCGGCTTCCCCAACCACCCAGCAACCCTTGGTAGGGTGTGCTTGGCTTGTGTCCCAGCTGGAACACACAGATGGGACAAAAACAAGCCCTGAAATCCTTTCAGAGGCTTTGTAGCAGGGCTGCAGCCCCTTGTGGCACCTTTATTCTTTATTGTGCTCTTCAGCAAGGCCTGGTGCTCCCAAGCCCGGCACCAGGCTCTGCTTTCTGCTGATGCACATCCTTTGCTTGATTCACACACGCCGCCACACCTTTGTTCAGCAGCATCGAGCAGGCCAGTACGGGGTGGCCCTCTCCAAATACACTCTCCCCAACCACCCCAAAAATTTGACCCTGAGCAAAATGTGGTAGACATCTTGGTTTATTTTTTTTTCTGCGATGATGGTGCTTGAGGGCAGATACTTCAGCAGCCTTTTACCTCTCAGAGACAGAGCTGGAACCTGCCTGGACGCTTCCTTGTGCCCTCCTATGCTCAGAAAGTCAGTTTCAGCCTCTTCACCCTCATCTGTGTTTCATTTCTCCCTGCACCCAAGCTGGCAGGGCCAGTGGTCCTCCCCAGGAGCCTCCCTTTCTATTTCCTTCACTCAGATTATGAAGTGCACCCATAGAGGGTTTATCATGCTTGGACACGCTTGCCTGAGCAGAAGTGGCCTGGGGGTGCAAGTGCACATTCAGCACCCTGGCACAGCAGCAGGGCACAGCCTGGGAGGGAGCTGGGAGGAAGCTGTGCTCCGCCTCAGGTGGGAGGTTTGTGGGGTGCGGGAAAGCAACTGCTCCTCTGCCCCCAGCAACAGCAGCAGCTCAGACATCACCTCTCCCTGCCCCTTGGTGCTCCTGGGTCCTTCAAGAAATGATTAAAGGGCTGAAAAAGTGAACTATACCAGTAGGAATAGGTTTCTCATTTGGAGGATCTTTGGAAAATTAGTAGGGAAGTTCCATAAATTAAAAAAAAAAAACTAACCCCCCCCACATACCCTGTGCACCGCTCGCAGCACAATGGTTGCCAGCTCCTATGTTAACAGCATATGGCATCTCTAAAAGCCCTTCATTACCCCATCTGAAACCTCAAAAGCCATGGAGGAAATGTGGCCCAAGCAGCTGCCAGGAAGCCTGCTTGGTCTTTCGCTCTTCGCACTTCCCCTTGCTCCACATCGGAAAAATCCAGCCTTGAGTGCAACCCGGGCTCTTGCACAGAGGTTGGAGGGGTGTTGCAAGCCACCTTCCCCAGCGGGCCCAGCAGTTACATGCTCTGGCCACACAAGGCAAACCCAAAGCCACGACGACAGCTTTGGTTTGTTTGTGACAAGGCAGGACAGAGGTGTCCCTGGGATTCTTCGGTTTGGCAGGTCCCATGCCACCCCATCGCAGAGCACACCTGGCAGACGTGGCACAGCCAGGAGTTTGGGCAGGGTGTACTTCAGCAGGGTGTAGGCAGGGAGCGGCATCCTGCTGCAATGCCAGGGTCCAAGCACGCCGCCATGCGCAGGTCTCATTTTGCCACAAACCTCACAGCTCGCTGGCATTTGAGCCCAATTTCGCAGCAATCTTGCCACTCCAGGGGATGTCACTCCTCCGCTGTGAGGACATGCTCTTCTATCAACCCTGCAGACTTTGTGGTGGATTTGAAGCTCTTGAAGTGTTTGCAGAAAGGACTGCTGGCTGCTTCTGCAGGCTGTTCTTTGCTCTCCTTTTTGTTTGTCTTACTGAGCTTTTACACCTTACCTGCCTGGTGCTATTTTTTGTCATCAAGTCATGCCTTCAGCTTTTGAAGGGGCCTCTCTGTGTCGAATAACCTCTGGCCCTGCTGGTTCCTCTCTGTCTTTTGATACCACAAGCCCTGAAAGGCTGCGCTAAATCTGTGCAAGCTTGCTGGACACTGTGTGACCATGCTGCTTCTTTTACCTTAATTTTATCCAAGTTTCCTCATTTCATGCATTTCCCCTTTCTGAAGCTGAACAAGATGCTACTGGACTTTTCAATCTTTGGTCATTACACAGGGTCACAGAAATGAAGTATGTTGTGGCTGTCACCTGTGGGCAGCCCTTTCCTGAGAACATGCTCAGCCCAGTCCTGTACAGAGCTCAGTTCCCCATCTTCCTCCTTTGTGGTGCACGTAGAGGAGCCACACACCGACGTCTTGCTGGCTTCTACCTAGGATTGCAAACTAGCCATTGGGATGCTTGAAGACCAATGCAGTAGTGCTACACCCTGCCTCTTCCTTTTGATTGGGATCCATGTTCCCGAAGGTGTATCTGTGGTGCAAAGGCATCTACATCCCTCTTCTAAAGCAGGGACCCCATTGCTGGGGCCACACCTTGGAGAAAGAGCTCCTGCCTGATTCTGGCCTCCTGCCGGCAGCTGGAAGTTGGTGCTTGCACCCAGACGCGCTCCCCGCCTGCACGATGCTCTCCGGGAGCAGTGCCTGCCTTGCCAGTCTACGACAGGTACACTCTGTGCCCCTGCTCCAGTGAAGATCACGGCTTTTAACATGGTGATCAACGGCTTTTTGTGTCTCATTTTCATGCTTTTTGTGCTCTACCATGCCTGCTGGGATGCGCACACCGCAGCCAAGGGCTGACACCTCCTGCACCCCCTCGGGCTCCATGCCCCTGGCATGTACACCCCTTGGCAGGGGAACGGGAGAGGCGGGACCCAACAGATCGGGACCACAGCCAGTGAGGCACCTTGGCTCGGAGAAGCTTCTGGATCATGACCGGTTATGACCACAGCTCAGATCTGGCCTGGGGTATAACTGGGTGCTGCTGGAGACCCCTGTGGTGTGGGCTTCTTGGAGCGGTGGGTCTGTGTTTGAAGCCACTCCACTTGGGTTGTGATGCTGCCTGAGGAAACACCCCAGAACTGAGTGCCCTCGCCTCCTTCTGGTGAGTGATTTCGTCTGGATGCATCCTTGAGTGAGCCCTTGCCGCTGCCCTGGGCGAGCGATTGTACCCTGTGGGTACCCATGAGGGGGCGGGAGTTTCCCCCTCGTGAGCACGTGTGTGCACTTTGGACCATCAGCCTTGTGTGTACTGACATGTACTAACAGTACCCCGACTGACACCTCGAACCTGTTGCATGTTAGATGTTGTTGGAGTGTTGACTGACTTCAGTTTACCCGTTTCTCATGGGTTTCTCTCATGTGGTTTTCGCTGTTTTGTGAAATAATGTTGTCTGACCTTCTCCTTCACTTAGGTTAGCTTTTGCATATCTCCTTGACACAGTCCTCACCTAAATCTCCCCCACGCCACCACCCACAGACTGTGCAGAGCTGGCGGCGTGCAGAGACTGGCTCTTGCCCACAGGCATCGCAGTGAGGGGAAATGGGGGCTCTGGGGTGTGAAAGCCGCGCGTGGGCCATGCTACCACTGAGGTTCGTTCAGAGGAAACCCTGTGGGTTTCACTGTACAGATGGGGGCACCGAGGCAGAGAGGGAGTTGGCGAAGGGGCTGAGGAAGGAAGTCCGCATGGCAGATGCCAATTTTGGTGCTGAGTCCCGGGATGGTGCCGCAACCGCAGCCCTGTTCAGCTTCCTCCATCAGAAAGGGAACTGGGCTGCGCTCCAGCATCTGGTCCTGCCTCAGCACTCCTGGGCTACTGCCACGAGCAGGATCACACCAACCAGGGGCCTGGGAAGCAGCTCCCGTGACCCTGGGCTGGGATAGCCACTGTGCAAAGAACTGGCCTGTCCCCGGGCTGTGCTGCCCCTGGGCTAGCCTGAAAGCTGGATGTTCAGCTGTTTTGAGCATGCACAGAGCTCTCAGGTGTTTATATGAGCTGATATATGCTTGATGTCCCCAAAGCAGTGGTCATGGAGTTGTCAGAGCCATCTGCAAGCCCATTCCCAGCCTGGCAGCCCCTGCCCTGGATGGCGTGGCTGCTGTACGGAGCCGTGCGGGGTTTGGGGATGTGCCACTGCCTGCTGGACGCTGGCAGGGTGAGCACTTGGTCTGGCTGCCAGGAGGGACAGGAAGGAAAAGCATTCCCTCCCCCAGGACGGGGGCCTTTCCTTCGGACATGCACGTGCCCGCTTGCACCCCATGCTCCCTTGTGCAGACATCTGCCCCTCTGCTCCCCTCAAGCTTGGTGCTGCCTGCAGCCCTTGCAAGAGAATGGTCCGTGTCAGCGGAGCACGAGCCCATTTCCCATCACATAGACACTTCCCCACTTGCTCAGCTTTTAGTGCCTTGAAAAGCTGGCCACGTTAATGCAGTACCTCCTTTCTTCTCTGTCAGATGCCACGCAGTCATGGTGATGTG